TCTAAGACATATGAGCGAATAACGCAATACAGTAACAATAGTAATTGAATTGTCTATTTATTGATTGTGCTAAAAATATTAAAATAAGAGTAACACATTCAGTAATTCGGGATGAAGTTACAAGTGTATAAAATCTGCCCTCCTCTTGAAACTGGTATACATGAGTGATTCGTGGTAGAACTGGATAAGACGGTGATACCTCTCCCTGTTGGAGCACCATATCATCAGTAGCTTCACATGCTATGCTAAATAGTCAAGTCTATGCATGAAGATTATTGGCCTTAAAACGCCACTTTTTTCCCCCTACCTATACTGATTGCTTTAAGAGGCTATATCAGCGTTACCCTAGCGTGCAGGTGTAGGTACCACCACCCCGCCTATTTCTGCCGTGAAGCAGTAATGCGTTTCGGTTTGAAGGGTGGGGCAGCCGTTGTGACTATACTGAGACCTTAGAACTATATCTCAAGGTGTGTGGCGCATTTACGTTGTAGATGTCTATGGGCTCCAGTAACCACTTAACACCAGGTGGGCTGTGAGCTCGTCCACACTTCTAAGCAATAAAAAAAAAAAAAAAAAAAGTTGGATNAAAAAAAAAAAAAAAAAAAAAAAAAAAAAAAAGGTGAGCTCTCGGAGCTCAAATCGTAAGTTTTACTGTCTATGCGCCCAAAACTACCAAAAAAAAAGAAATCGGTCAACGAGCACTACTGCAACCGCACCGACACTTCTCTCGCAGCAACCTTACGCACGACACCTGTGTACCTGTATATTGTCACGGCCGTTATTTCAAATATAGTTTGGAAGGAAAAATAAAACATTCATTTCGTTTGTACACCACTGCTTGCTTCCTCTTCCTCGCCAACAGTTACTAACACTGGCCCTAGCAAGAGCAGTGCTTCGCAGAATCTACCATCAGGTCAGAAACGTGACCTACTGAGATAATCCGCCGAGAAACTCAGTGGGCAATACGCCACGCTCACCGTTGCGGGTTGGCGAGTCCACTTATTTTAAAGGTATTTAAAAGCTGGGGAGTTGTGGTAGTCCTATCTGCATTCTTTGTAGAGGTCGGGATATTTCACCGTCGCCCGATGCTCTGCGTTAACTTTTTACGGTTCGAAAGGTCAAGTCCAACCAACCCTCCTCCTTTCTCATTCAGGCTTGAAACCGGCAACAGCAGAATTCTAAAACTAACTACTACTATTATAGTGTATCTATAATAGTTACATTTTTTATGTTTATGGTATAACCAGCTGTACCCGTCCGTTTCGCTGGGCATTTAAAATTAACATTATTATTTCTCACCCCCCAAAGATGTTCATCATTAACGCCCCCGCAATTGGTGTAGGGAGTCCAACACTCATATAAATATTAGCCCATCCATTAAGTACATGTATTTTCTACATGGATACTAAGTTTCAAGTCAATCGGATGCATAGTTCAGTAGTTATAACGGAACATCCGTAAAAGCCACTGTAGATTTATATATTAGTATAGATGACAGTTTGGTTTCTGTAATATATTCACTCGCATGAGTACTGACCGCGCAGATTTCCCTTCCATACCTAGTTTCCTTCCAAATATTTCTAGGAATGCCTTTGTGAACTTAGGGCTCCAACCTTCAAGATAGGGAATTCAAATTGAATGTGCAAAATTCGTTTCACCTACGTCGAGATCGGTTCAGCTTTGATGAAAATTGTTCGGAGTAGTTTCTGTTCAAAGGTATAGGCCTAAATTAATTTATATATAAAATCGATTGTACAAAATTTGTGTGCTAAAGTTATAAATTAATTCATAGAATAATAACATGGACTTTTTTGCTGTCTTAGAAAACAGAGAGACAGGCTTAAGGCCGATGCCAAGACATTAACATCAGAAACTAGCAACTTCGATTTTGAAACGGCATGATAATGTCATAGCGCTCAGGAGACACCCTTCCAAAATCGGACGGTACGTGGTAGAAATCATCTCTAAAAACATAAACTCTGTGGTAAAGCTCTGTGCAATGGCGAAAATGCAAATAGGGAATCGAATCAAATACCTCAGAGCCATTCCCATAGACATAATAAAAATCTCATCGCTTAAATCAATGTATGTAATACCAACGAACTTTTTTTTTTATTGCTTATATGGGTGGACGAGCTCACAGCCCACCTGGTGTTAAGTGGTTACTGGAGCCCATGGACATCTACAACGTAAATGCGCCACCTACCTTGAGATATAAGTTCTAAGATCTCAGTATAGTTACAACGACTGCTCCACCCTTCAAACCGAAACGCATTACTGCTTCACGGCAGAAATAGGCAGGGTGGTGGTACCTACCCGCGCGGACTCACAAGAGGTCCTATCATCAGTGATCATTTCAACAATAACCAAAACTAAACGTTCAAAAGAATATCATAAATACGTCTTTTGAAAAAAAGGATAACATCTAAGAGAAACGATGTCAACAAAAATATTTTCTAGAATTTTCTTTCGAAATTCCAAGAAACAAACGACAGGAACGTTGGACCATCTTCCAGATATTGCTTCTAAATAAAATTACTCCGACATTCGTGACCAGCTTTTTAATATACAGTCGGTTCGGATCGATAACTGTTATGAGATAACTAGTTGCTTCTGTTTTAGTAACAACAAAAAATATGCTATATAGTGTATAAATACGTTTGTTATCTTGTAAGTTCTCACAAAGATAACAGGACTCAGATTTAATACATCTGCCGCAGAATAGTCGATAAATATAATAATAATAGGGTTTGAATGTTAAATTATTCGTCGCTAGACATTATAATATTATGTATTTTCACATCAGCAGCTCAAACATGCCGCTTTTACTGCGAGACAACAGTGGACAAAACGCGATTTTGATTCGAGCGTGGGTCAAAGTAGCTTTTTTATTTTTCAATCTTCAGTGCCACGAATTGACATTGTTCAGCCATAAATTTGAAACATTCGAATTTTACTGTGCTCTGTCTCTTTCACATGCATATAAAAAAGCGAGTGAAAAATCAAACCCCTTCGAAATTCGGTTTTTTTAATTCAACCTCAAAGAAAACACGTTCGGAAATGCGTAAATACCCTAAAAATTTTTTTATAGTTATTTCAATCTATTCCTGTTCATTTCTATGTCTCTTATGTAATATGTTGTTCTCATTGCTGATGTGAAAAGTTATGTGTGCTACACGAGAGCAAAATTTTCTACATAAAATATCATACTGTTGAGTCCCTCACTACGCTCAGGATTCTAAAATTGAATCACTCACTACGCTCGTGAATCAATCACAGGATCCTTCACTTGCTCGCGACTCAAAATCAGCACTCGAAACAAAAAACAACTTTGCTCTCTTGTTGCACAAATAAATATTTCTGTCGTTTACCAATCAAGACGAATTCCACTAGCTGTGTTCGGCATGGTAAGAGTGCGGCGTCTAGAAATGGCATTTTATTACAGGCTTATAATATGGTAAGGCGTTCCTACAAAATCGCGTGTTGTGCGTATATGAGACTAGAAGTCAGTACAAAAAATGTTCGCTCACGCGGCCCGCACACACATAGACACCCTTCAATCCCTACAATCCCGCTTTTGCAGGTTAGCTGTCGGGGCTCCGTGGTTTGTGAGGAACGTTGACCTACACGACGACCTGGGCCTCGAATCAATTCGGAAATACATGAAGTCAGCGTCGGAACGATACTTCGATAAGGCTATGCGTCATGATAATCGCCTTATCGTTGCCGCCGCTGACTACTCCCCGAATCCTGATCATGCAGGAGCCAGTCACCGTCGACGCCCTAGACACGTCCTTACGGATCCATCAGATCCAATAACCTTTGCATTAGATGCCTTCAGCTCTAATACTAGGGGCAGGCTTAGGGACCCCGGTAACCGTACTCGTCGAACTCGACAAAGAGGTCGACGTGCAACCTAACCCATGCATCAGCCCGCTGAGTTTCTCGCCGGATCTTCTCAGCGGGTCGCGATTCCGATCCGGTAGTAGATTCATTCGCGAAACAATTGCTCTTGAGTTGTTAGGTCTCCTTCGGAGGCGCTCGGGCAGTTGTTAGCAAATCCCACCCCTCTTGGCTGAGCCTTTGCTCGCCCACCTGTCCTGGTGAAACTGGAAAGGCCTTCGGGCCACCAGTAAACTCAATCATAAAAAAAAAAAAAAAGTACAAAAAAAAGAGAATAATTTTTCTGAGTGAAACATCTCAACTATGCGTGTATGTATTTTTTTACCTATTATACTTAAAAAATAAGCAGTAAAATTTCGGTTCGCGCACTGGGCAAGGCAGCCGAAATATTTGAGCAACCAGTTATAGCAGCCAATCAACGCCCATTTATGATCCTTTCGTTGAGCGATTTGAACTTGATCTCGTAAAAAACGCAAAGAAACGAAAAGACACTGGATTCATCCCTTTTTTCTAGAACGGCATTCTAAAGGCTTATTCTATAGCTATTTTAAAGATTTTCATACATATCTAGACCGTTTTTTTTAAATACAAGAGACTGTACAAGCATGCTGTGTCATTCAACTAACATTTGGAAAAAGGAATATGCATTGGCTGCTACAGCAAGTGCGCGGGGACTGACAGCAGCCACATGCATTCGCCAACACTCGCTCTGGCTGCCGTGCAACAGGCGCGTTGTAATGGCTGCCGCAGCCAAGAGTTCCGGGGTGCTTAAGTGCGCGGGCTCCCATACAACGCCATATATTCGTCTGGTTGCCGCGGCCAGTTTGCCTAGTGCGCGGAGAGTCTATTGTGTGTTCGTAGTACATGATGTAATTTTCTAAATAATTTTAAACAAAAATCTCGTTATCCTGTTATAAAAGTATTTATGAAGGTTTCGGGGAATTTTGCTTTTCGTGTTAGAGTGGAATCGTGTTGTAAAATACCCCGTTATAGAAGGGTTACCTTGTACTTCATCGGAAAGTTGAAAACTTTTGCAATCAAAAGACAATTCTTCAATTATATTTTTAAATATTTTCTTCCTCCTTGGGTCGTATTCCTCACTGCTGAGGCTCGTGATCACCTTTTTGTATCACCTTCGCACACACGATCTTTCTCCATCCATTCTTGTCTCTGTCGGTGTGGAGGGCGTTGTGAAACGTGGAATCAAGAGCGGTGCGGATCTGGTCGGACCAACGTGTTGGGCTGCGCCCCCGAGGTCTTTTCCCATCTACCGTACCAGTCACGATGAGCTTCTCGAGATTGCCACCATCCTTCCGTGCAATGTGACCGAAGTATTCAAGGACTCTGCAAAGACACTCGGATGATAGCTGCGAGGAGATTTTGTGTTCTTGCAAAATTGATACGTTGGTCCGAAATGCTGTCCACGGAATACGCAGTATCTTTCTCCAGCACCACATCTCAAAGGCGTCAATGCGCATGCGGTCTGCAGATTTTAGTGACCAGGTCTCAGCGCCATACGAAAGAAAAAAATCGAGAAGACTAGAGTCCGTACCAGTTTGGTTTTGGTTTAAATATTTTAAATTGCTTTTAATTATAATTTATAATCAACTTATTTCTTAATATGATCTGTAACACAAAACTTGAAAGTCAATCTTGATAAGTTTGACAACTTACGTTCAAGTAATTAAACTTTAGCCATTACCTTCAACTTGATACTTGAGCTTTTCAGTGTTTGACTTGATAAAGCTATGTTTGAAGAAGCCGTGCCATTTACATGAGTCTCAAGTTAGATATCATTTTTAATATATTCGGTTTATTTTAGAAAGGTCCTCTTGGGACCTTAAGGACCTCTTATGAGTCCGCACAGGTAGGTACCACCACCCTGCCTATTTCTCGGTTTGAAGAGCGGGGTAGCCATTGTACTGTTAAAAGTGAGACCTTAGAACTCATGTCTCAAGGTGGGGGACGGCATTTACGTTGTCTATGAGCTTCGGTAACCACTTAACACCAGGTGGGCCGTGACCTCGTCCACGCATCAAAGCAATAAATAAAAACCACGAACTGCGAACATTTCTTCAACGCAATTCATTTAAATCGAGACATTTAAGTAACAATGCAATAAAATTATTCGCGATTCCTATTCTAACATACAAAAAATCATATAGAGAATTCTGGAAAGCTGCTGACTTCGAAACAATGGGGCCCGAAAGAGGTCCGAACAAACAGAAGCGCTGCCGACCCGGAAAGGACCCAAGAGATTTGCATAATACAAAATCAGCAAATGTTATATGTTAAATACGTGTTACTATTGCGAAATTGAATGTGTGATTTACGTTCTGTCAGAGAATTGGAATTATTTGTAATATTTATTAAATTTATTTATTTTTTATTTATTTCATTTACTTCAGATTTTGCATCCATATTACATTCATTAACATTTCATATAGTATACTAGAATTAAATAAAAATAATAACTACAATCTCAGAATAAAAAAATAAAATAAAAACAATAAAATAAGCAATAATAATAATAATAATAAAAAAACAAGTAATAATAATAATAAAACAAACGGTTAATTAACCGATAAAAGATCATAGCGTTTTCGCGCGAAGGATGCTCCGTGGAAAGTTGAACTGCGAAAAACATTTCGAGATCCAAGAATTTCGATCTGGTGTATTTATTTATTTATTTAATACAAGGAGAACCAACAGCCAACTAACAAAGTATAATAATATAACAAATAATAGAAACAAAAAGCCAATTAAAGGTTCTCACCAATATAAACAAATTAAAAACACTAGAGAAAATAAAGCATAGAAACAAAAAAAATTAAAAACAATCAGCAAGCAAGAAACAACATAAGGAATGGAGGAAAACACCAGACTAATTTAAATGTACACTTATGTATAAATGTCACAAATTAATTAAAAACTGTTGTGCTACACATCACCGGCACATGGCCCCGCACCCTCTGCCCCCTCATCGCCCACGAAAAATCGGGCACTAAGCTGACGTCTNCACTTATGTATAAATGTCACAAATTAATTAAAAACTGTTGTGCTACACATCACCGGCACATGGCCCCGCACCCTCTGCCCCCTCATCGCCCACGAAAAATCGGGCACTAAGCTGACGTCTAAGTCCTGTGATAGAGGAATAAAATGGGTCAATATCTAAGAACCTGCCAAGTCTGTTGAGGTCACCACCAACACGTAAATAGAATGAGTTTTGCCTATAGTTAGTGGAAGCTAGTGGCAAAGAAATTAGATTTCGATGCCTTAAAGATATTCTCTGTGCATTGTTCTATTTCTATACCGATATTTCTAAAGAAATACGTACTAAAGAAATGTTCACGGTGAAGGAATAGCATCGTGTAATAAAAATCAAACCTGCAAAATTATAAATTGCGCAATTACTGATGTTAGGACGTCTTGTGAGTTCACACGGTACCACCGGTCTTTGAAGAGTGGGGCGGCCCTTGTAACTATACCGAGACCTTAGAACTCTTACACTCTAACACTTACGTTGTAGATGTCTACTGGCTCCAGTAACCGCAAGTGGTCTGTGAGCTCGATCACACATCTAAGCAATTAAAAAAAAATTATTATAACTATTACAATACATTGCGCATCTTTGCATACTTTTTTGCAGACTTATCTAGGGCGCTTGAGATCCGTACACAAAATTAAAACCAGTCGTCCATGACCGCGAAAGCTGTAAAGAATTCGAAACGTTGCAAATTAAAATTAAAATAACGAATGCTAACAAAGTAAGACTATAAAAATTAATAAAGTTTTTTTTTTTTTAAATAAATAAATAAATATTTACTAACAATCACGCCACGTTAACTGGTCCCGTGATAAGTTCGTAAAGAACTTGTGTTACAGGTACCAGATAACGGAAATAAATGTAAGATTTTTATTATACACATACATATATTTAATATATGTATATCATACATATTTAATATATGTATGTGTATAATAAAAATATATGGCTACAAATTACAAAAAAAGGTCACAAGCGGGCGCATCACGATGATCAGAAATGAGCGATCGACTGAAGGAGGAGAGGATATTTAATATACATCCATAACCCTGGAAAAGACATTTATATTTATCATACAAATATCTTCACTTGGCGGGATTCGAACCCGCGACCCCCTTGTGTAGTGACCATGTCACTTACCACTACACCAGACGGCCGTTAAATGTGTTAAAATCTTCTTCAGAATATTTTCTAGATGAATTATTATGAATACGTGCCGCTTTACCATCAGTCATTATATTAATTAATTGCATGCTTAAAGTGTACATTTAATTTAAATTGACAGAGAGAAAATGCCATGAAAACGGCCGGATAGTGGAGAGCTACTTGAGAATCATTAGCCGAGCAAAAAGTGCAGTGTGTACGCGCTCGTAGTCAGGTCGAGTGTGTAGTGTGACCAGCTCTCACTATCTGATGGGATATTTTGAGCTCTTTTTTAATACGCTTTGAAAAACTGACCAAATTGATCTGTATGTAGATTTAGTAATTTTTTTCCTCTCTAAGCACCTGTCATTTTTGTAAATACTTTGACATTGGCAAAATCAATGCCAAAGGCGTTGGAGCCACTTTCTTTACAAGAAAAAATAAATAATAATACGCTTTTATTAGCTTCAGACGTATGTATGTTAGTATGTAACGGAATCTTTGAACATGATTTTAACCCCCTTCAAAATGTCGGATTAACTCGAAATTTGGTACACTTATTAAGGACCGATGACAATTCAATATAAAGAAAAATTGAAAAAAATTAAAATCAACTAAAAAATGAAAAATAAATAATAGTTTAAAAAAACTAATTAAATACGCTTTTATAGAAAATCCAACTAACAAATATAAAATAAATCTTAATAAATTTGAATTAAAAATAGTGTAAGAAAAAATGGTTTTATTGTAAAGAAAGCGTGGGCTTGTCTTAGGTTGGCTTGGATTTTCACCAAAAAATAATCATCTTCTGTCTCGAAATTTGGGTATATTCAGTTTTATTTTCATAGCCTCGCATATAATATGTAGAATTTTCTTGTTATGTTTTTTTCTTATTAAGGAAACGAGTCCCCTAAGAGAACTAAGACACTGCAGTCTTTTTTTTCACTGCTTTTTTTTTTTTTGGTCAGGAGGAAATCGCCGGAGTTCCGCCCTCCACTGGAAGACACTGCAGCCTAAATAATTATAAATAAATTGTAAATTGAACTTGTCATTTATGAGTATCTCTCGCATCCCGATAAGACAACAGCAATAGTGATTTAATTAATCAAACTATATGATTGTTCTGGTTTGTCTTTTATTACTAAACGATTTTGTTAATCATTCGTCTGCCCGACCTTCTTTATAGTTTTTTTAAGGCAAATTGGCATTACCAGATAAAAAAATAAGAATTTTCTTTTAATATCGTATTTCATGGTCACCGTATAAGTGTTCTCGTCGTTAGGTAACGGTAACGACACCGGAGAACGTGACAACCGTTCCTAGATTTATTCAGAAACGAGGGACTCTCCTGTATTCTTATAGTATAACGTGCCTTAAGATCTTGATGGCATAAAAATATACAGATTGCATTTTCCATCAATACCGGACGTTCGGTTAACAATGCAATTGCTGACAGAGATTTTCAATAATAACAGGGATGTAATAAGCTTCTTTTTAAAAATATGTCATTAAAATTTGCGTTTATAATAAGAATAATAAACAAATAATTGGACGCGAATCCTGATTCCTACTTAAATTTGATACAGTACTATGAAAACTGTAACCACTGAGTTTCTCGCCGGATCTGCTCAGTGGGTCGCGCTTCCGATCCGGTGGTAGATTCTGCGAAGCACGGCTCTTGCTAGGGCTCGTGTCAGCAACGTCATCAGGTTTGAGCCCCGTGAGCTCACCTACTAATTCGGCGAATCTAGAATAACCCCTCGTAGTTACTAGAATAGGTATAAAAAATAATAGTAAACAAATCTGTTCAGAGTATGAATGTTTGCTTCAAGTGGACACAGAGATTCCCAACTTAACAACCAGGGCTACTGTATTACTAAGTGATTCAGTAAATTTGATCATCCAATTTCTTTTCGTAGATTTCGTAAAAGGCGACTAACGGATTCAGCAAAGAATAGGCAACAGCATCATACTCTGCGATCACCATCCCGCAAATACAGATTGCAGTAATCCTGCACGGATAGGGACCACTATTTTACCTATTTCTGCCGCAAAGCAGACATGCGTTCTGATTTCATTTGAAGCTTATTTCAGTAGCGGTATTCACTCTATTTGGTTTAAGCGACATTTCGGTTAATACGCGCTATTTATCTTTGTAACTCAAGTTCCGTTTTATTTGGTATTGGTATCAAGAATGTTTTTAATTGAACTACAATTAATATGCTTACCACATTCAAAATTAAATAGCTGAAGAAATATTTTTTT